CTCGCGCTTGGTGAGCCACTCCTGCCGTTCGCTAGCCGCCTCCCAATGCGCGGTGCTCTGATACGGTACGTGGGAGCCCACCTCTAGCGAGCCTGATGGATCGCACCACGCCCTCCACGCCCTCCGCCTCGCCGTTCAGCAGGCCCCGCCCACCGAGCGTGCCTGTCTGCGCGCCAACCCGCGGACGTGTCCACGGACCTGCCAACCTGCGTCTACCCGCACGTAAGCCATACCTGCGGCGGCAGGTCTGTACCCGGGCGGGTATGCCAGGTACGAGTACACGTCGGGACTGCCTTCGTATTGTATGTACTTTAAGCTAGTCACTGGTCATTGACAATGCATCTGTTCCGTGGACGTAATTACAGTGTGTATGTGACAAAAATCAGCAATTCTGTGTAGAACACAGGTAAACTGAGTGAATGAGCAAACCACAATAGTACCCACTGTCGGAAATCCACACAAAGACTAGCAACTGCTTTGAATTCCACCATTTTACCTGGAATTCTGAATCGGAAGGGGTGGGTCCAGGTAATTCCTGTGTACACCGCAATTGAGAGAATGTGCAATAATACCTGACTCTACCGTAAATGGCGGGATTTTTCTGGTTATTCATAGGGGAAGTTTTTCCCGATGCACCCGCCACCCCCCGCCGCCCCCACCCCTCCTCTCGTCGTGGACGATACCGCACGAATGCGGTATCTTCCAACTCTCCTGATGCCCTGATGCAGGAGAGTCGGGCGGTACTGCTTTCGCGCGGTTCCATGAGGTGCCGCCGACACAGCACGTCTGCCAACATCAGCCGCGCGCTGGTCGCCAGCGCCTAGCCAGTGGCTGCGCGTCCGGCGCTTACGTGAACCATTCTCTTCTCATAGGCTCCTCCCCTCGTCCCTCCCGACCACCCAACCGCCACTGTTCTGGAGTGACACACTGCGGCCACCGCCTCGGCGACACACCCCGCGTACCCGTCGTCAACTTAAATAGACGGGCCGGAGACTCAGACAGACATGACTTACAATCTGGGTGTCTTGCAGCTGCCCGGCCCCCCCAGATCAGTAAAACTACAGATTGCTTTAACTGGCTTAGGCAGCTTTGTGTGGCTTCGCATGGCTTGACAACTCACTTGATGTGCTTAGCTGTCTTAGGCGGCTTACCGTTTGCAGGCTGTTACTACACCAAACTTGACACGCTAAGCCATTAAGCGTCATTAAGCACCACTGTAAGTACACATGTGTTTGACGTAAACTAAGCCATTTGAAGCACCACAAATACATGGGCGTAGCCAAACAAATATGACCGGGTCACCCCAAGTGACCCATGTCAATCGGGATTTTGTGCAATTCCTCTGATGGCCCTGTCAGGGGCTTCATCAGTCAGATGAGGATCAGACATCTGAGCAAATGCCACCAAGCACTAGACAAGAGCGCTTAACAAGGGCAATTTTCCTAGACGGGCGTCTACATCTATCATTAAAGTTGCACTTCCATAACACCACAACATTGATCCTCCCCGGCATCACAATTCCTGTGGCTATGTCTGCCCCCACGCCCATCACCAACCATACCGCCGCCACGGTCATGTCAACAGCTCAACCCACGCACGGGACAGCTGGGCCCTGGTATATGTATTGGGTCAATCCAGCCACTATGGCGCCCATACAGAACCCATTCTTGTCCTTGTACGTAGACAGGACCACTTGTAACAATGCCGATAGTATGTTCATGAATGAACAGCAGGCACTATTGGGACTACCACAATGCTAATGGCAGCAGCAATGACAGTGGATGCAACTTCAACGCAATGGATCAGGAATCAGTAGATGAAGACATGGTCAACTCCCAGGCCAAGCCTTTTGAGTGCATGCCAGCAGAGGCCTACGAGGGGATGACTGATGAAGAAATCCTGGAGACCTTTGACCAGCGGCTGAAGGCAATGGAGGAAAAGTGGACGCAGCTGATGGCGGAAGCAAATGAAGATATGACTGAAGAAGAAATCCTGTGGAACCTTGACCAGCGGCTCACAGCAATGGAGGATATGTGGTCGCAGCTCACCGCAGATGCAGAGGATGAAGTAACAGATGAGGAAACCCTGCAGACCCTTGATGAACACTTGGCAGCAATGGAGGAGCATTTGATGCAAATGATAGCGCGAGCACAAGCTCATAACTAGATAATCTGGTATAATCTTGCTATACCCTGGATACCTAGTCCCTCTGCTTGCTATAGTCAGATGGTCACCTATGTCACTCTCCTCAAAGTCATGTGTACAAATACAACACTCTTTGGACATGGGATAGCAAGGTTATAGAAGGAGCTCCACAATAAAATGTATAGTTGATTACTGATTGACACTATAGACAGCCAACAGAATGTGGCCACTGCCATGGTAGCCAGCCAGCCAGCAAGATATATGATTGCTGTCCCCAGTTTCCATATTGGGCGCCACTGGAGTGCGTTTCATGGCCCCTCACCCCAGGACAGAGCAGCCAGCCACAGCATTTATTTGTATCTGTTGGTGCAAGTCGCGTCATCTGGGAGTTTCAAATTTTAGGTCCCGCTAATAGGACATTAGTATCAGTTACTTATATTTGCTTATCTGGGCCTCAAAAAGTCACGTGGACTCCTTCCAAATCGGGCGCCACTGTAAGGCGTTTCATCCCCTCCAGTCATAAGAACGATTCCTTCGTACCTCAGGGATCGTAACTGAGCGCTGCAGTGTTGGGAGCTGCTCTGGCTGCCAGGGCATGATTTGGAGTGACATAGTGAGTTGAGGAGATATGCCACTTGCCAACACTTTTGGGCCAGTTCATGAAATTTTCGTGGGCGGCGCCAACTGCTTCAAAGTGCCAGCCCAACGGGGCATCATCTTTATGCCTTTTACAACCTTCCATGCAACAACCTTCCACCCTGAATTAGTGCATTGCAGGGGTACGAGCAACCCGCGAGGGTCACGGGTACGGGTACCGCTGGGTAGGGATATGGGTAGCCAAATCCGGACCCACAGACCCGCCACCGGTACCTGCCGCTCCAGCGCGACTCACTTGGTGCCAGACACACTGGTTTGAATGCCCATGGGAACTCTCCACCATCGTGCGAGCACCCGAGCGCGTTGTGTGCAAATTTCTGCTAGACTCTTGTATTGACTCTCCTCCCTCCACCTCAATCCATGCACCTGCTTCTTCACCGTCCCAGCAGCACCCCGCAGCCCCTCACATCCCAATCTGGATGCCCGCTGTCTCTGTCACTCTCCCCGCCACCGCCAGCGCATTGCGTTCATGGTGCTGTCGATGGTGAGGCAGCGCGACCTTGCTGCTGCCCGGCCTTCACTGATGCGCCAGACAAATTTCGCTGTTCCCGCACTCAACGCAAAGAATGACGAGCAGCTGGCGGCGCGACACGCAAGAAACTGGCGTGAGACTGTGCCGCCAGCCAGCTACAACAGGCCTGCGTGCTTGCGTCTCAAACGCGAGCAATGCAGCATGCATTGCATCCGGCCAGCTGGCCGGGGGTACCGCCAGCAACGCCACAAGTGTCGCTGGGTACTCTCTGAGGGATGGGGCAAGAGAGGAGAGGCTGCGCGTGGCTGAGCACGCGCACATAAGGTACATTCATTCACCCTCACCACTGCTGTCTTAAATGCATCCAAGGATGCGGAGCAGACATGTGGTTAAGCGTTCAAACTGCCCGCGCAGGCAACATGCACAACGACCGCAAGCAGGCACAGGGCAAATGCCCCACACACAACGATGGCCGACGAATGCCTGCCGCATGCACAAGGTCGAGTGCAAGCAAACAGCGGAACGGGTAGGGGCGAGGTCAAGACCGAGCAGGCTGGCAGTGAGCAGACAGGCAGGTGAGTGCCACTATCCCCACCCTGCGCGCTCGTGCAAACACCCGGTTCACGCATGGCGACCATCAGCAGGCAGGGTAACTGCCCAACAATGGCCGGCCGACGGACACAATGTGCGCAGCACAGGCCGCACGAACCGTGACCGAGGACACAACACTCGTGGCCTGCCCACACGCGCACGCAGCACACACGGGCAATTGCCTGTGTCCTCGCATGCTCGCGCTGCGCATGTCCGAGTTGCCGCCGACCCTCGCCACCTCACCCCGACCCTCGCCTCCTCACCCGCCCGACCCTCGCCAATACCCGCACCCACGGTAACCTGCAAGACCCACGGATGACCCATACCATACCCGCCAGGCGGGACCCTGACCCCTGCGGATACGGGTACGGGTAAGCTCCCGGACACCCGGGGGTTTACCCCTGCAATTCACTACCCTGAATGCTTCTACGTAACCGACTGCAAACACCAATGCCAATTGGGGGTAGTACTGACCAAATGTGGGCAGCACGTGGCCGACTTAGGACCGCTTCTGTTAGAATCGAGCCCAATGAGTGCACTTTTATGTTCCTAACGGTACACCCGGGCTGCATATTCCCCATTGTCAACGGAAACCCAATGCTGGCTGGAGGAATGTGTCCGGAGGTTGCAAACCCACTGGCCGGCACCTGAGGTGCCCATTGTTAGCAGACTCGGTCTTATTTTAAACGGACCGGCTGGCAATAGTTCCCGGAAAATCAACAAGTGTTACTGAACAATGGTCCGGAATTTATTTTATGGTTGTAAATGGACCGGCCAAGATCAGGCACCTACATTTATAACAAACCGGCCGGAGCACATATACCCACATCATTGATGCACCAGCCAGAGCTCATACATTCACATTATCAATGCACCAGCCAGAGCTCATATACCTTGACTTATAATGCACCCGCAGTTCATGTACCTACATCTATAACATACTGGCTGGAGGTCATATACCTGCATTGCAAAAGGACCGGTCAGTCATAGTCTACCTACACCAAAAACAGACCGGCCGGTCATAACAGACCTACATCAGAAACGAACCGGCCGGTCATATGGAATCTGAATGATAATTGTGCCAAACATCTCAGAACACATATTCGAAGATGCACTGAGGTTTATGGACCATACACACACTGGACCTAGATTTTTTGGGCTTGGAATACATTGACAAGCATTCCCTTACATGTTCCCAATTTTATTAGGTACATACAAACCATGCCCATGCTTCAAAAGCACCATAAACGAGCTTTCTAGCCTGGAAACAGACCAGATCCAGGTTTTTCAGGCTGGAATTGCTTCAAAAGCTATTCTTGCACATGTGTTTAGCTCCCCAAATCATAGTTACAACAGGTCTCAGTGTTTTGCACAAGCACCGAGGTTTGCAGTTGCTTTGGTGCCGAGGGTGCACCAAGTCTCAGCACCGAGGTTTGCACTTCGCCTCGGCGCCGAGGTTGCACTTGCTTCGGCACCGAGGGTGCACCAAGTCTCGGCACCAAGGTTACACCAAACACTCGGCACCGAAGCAACTGCAAACCTCGGCACTGAGTGGACAATGTAATCTCGGTGCCCAGTTGTGCTAAACCTGAGGAATAATGGTGTTGACAATGATCACAAAAAGGCTACTGATGTTTGTTACACCAATGACCTTTTGTGTTTCAGTGAATGCAGGACAGTAGGTTCATTAGTAAATCTTCTAATGACATTACAAGGGTTTGTATGTGGTTACTTATAAAAAGTGATGTTTATAGCTCATTGTGTAGGGAATAGTCTATTGATAAGTAAATCTTCTATTGACACTTCAAGGATTTTCAATGCTTAGCCCAGTACAGCAGCTTTTCTTGTTCAGCCAGTAAGTAAGCTTATTGATAGCACTACACATATTTGTATCTCATCTTGTGGGGAACATTGGGTTGATAAGCAACTATTATGATGAGACTACAAGGATGTGTACATCTCATGCTGTTGTTATTGTACAGTAGACAGAACACTACATTACAAATGTGTAGTACTATGACAACTTCTGGCTGATTCTAGCGCCCACACTAAAGTTGGTAGCACTTACAGCTTGGAAGATTAAGCTCTGAGATTTGGCATATGTGCTGCTGGCTGCATGAACATACATTATAGCCACTAACCTAATGTGGGCAAAGAATACTGCCATAGTGAGGAGAGTAAGAAGGGAGCAGGGACATATGGATGGGTTGCTGATACATGTTCATTTATCCTCATACATTCTGCTATGTTATGATGGATGTTCTCATTACAAAGACACCCTACATATGTATCTGTATGTAGAAACCAATCCCATATGAATTCTATAGAATTAATACATGGGAAGCTAGTTATATTGCTCTGCTACAGTTGGGACTCATTGACTTTTCTGGAAATGCCAGATGGTTCAACCTTGATTTATGATTGTTACTATAATGTATTCATTTGTGATAAACAGACTCTATGGTGTTCCTTGAATTTGATTACTTCCCAATTGATATGAATTGTTAAAAAAGCATAATGTCATTTTCTCATGCAAGCAATGCATTTCAAGCTCAATCAATGAAGCTGAAGTAAGCTTATTAACCATTCCCTACAAGATGAGATAAAAACATCACTTTTTATAAGTAACCACATACAAACCTTTGTAGTGTCATTAGAATATCTCCTAATGAACCTACTGTTCTGCATTCACTGACCCACAAAAGGTCATTGGTGTAACAAACATCAGTAGCCTTTTTGTGATCATGTAGAAACTCAAGACTCCCTCACCAGAGCTGCCTGGGCTGCGGAGGGGGCACTATGCCTCTGAGGCGCACTATGGAGGTACACGGATAGCATCTTCATGTATCCCCTATCGCCACAATGGGCTGAAAGAATATGCACCACAGCATAATAGTGGCAAGAATCATGCCTTCCCTTTGTCACTCTTGACTCTTGTCAGCAGTACATACTTCAATACACCCACGGTGTAGCTTTAGTTCTCTCATCTTGGATGTGGGTACTACGTATTGTCCATAGCACTTACAAGTTTTGTGTCCTACCCACCGCACCACAGGTTGCCATCGGACAGCACGGGGACTTGCATCGGATTGCTGCACCCTTCGGGCGTGGGCTTTTGCCCGACTGTGGTTGTTTTCTTGATTCTTTCTTGACCCTCTTGTGTTATCTTTCCCAGTGTTGGTTTGGTACTAGAATCCCGTCACATGCATTTGTAATTAGGCTCAAGTGCTGTGCAGTATGTGGTCTGTAATATCATCAGTGCTCAGATTGTTATCTTGAGGATACCCTCATTCCTTTGCGCAAAGGCTCAACAAGGGAATAGACTGCACGCACATGCTGCCGCGCGCTATGGAGGAATGCACAGGGGACCTTGGCTCCTTCCTCTGGTTATTTTGGGACAAAGTATGCACGGTTGCTGGGGCACCACAAGTGTCATGGTCTACTCAAGACATGGTGAAGTGTCTGCTTGACATAGTGTGATTTGTATTTACTGTCTCTCGCCCATTGTGCCACCTGTCAAACAAGCCGCACTATGGAGGCGGGTACCAGAGTTGTCCCGCCTGTACGACAGTTGTTGAGCTCGAATTTATTCCGCATTTCTGCGGATTATTCTGAGCTCCATTGCCCTGTCCAAGTCACAATATGTGTCCTGTTGTGTTCTCCTTTATTCCACATGGACGCCATTACTGTACCGTGCATACTATATTTTTTCCAACCTCTTTCCCTTCAGTCTACCGTTTTCTATAATGTTTGACACTTCTGAGATTTGAACCATTGCACTCACGAGCTTTTCACTTGTTTGTTGATTTCGACTTTGTGGCTGTTCTACTATACAGATGTGGCTGTATTACGTAACACAGGCCGTAGACAGTTCGCCTCGTCGAGCTCTAAGTCCCTAAGACTTTACAGAGCTCGACTTAGGTGTGTATCTTTGCTTTCTTGAATATAAAGACTTTACAGAGCTCGACTTAGGCCTTTGGAATCGCTCTGAGGCGCACTGCAGCCAACAGCTGCATGGGCATCTGCTGCTAGACTGAGCCACAGCGCCGCTTGTCGCCACGTGTCCTGAACCCCCGTGACACCATATCTTCCACTGATGGGCCTTGAACTCCAATGAGCGGGCCGTCTGTTGCATCTCCTCACCCACCAGGACCAGCTGCTCTCGCCAGTGGTCACACTTGGCCTTCTCTCGCAGCCAGTTCACGTGGTGCACTGAGGGCCCATGAGCACTTTCCTCAGATCAGTAAGGCAATATTTGTTAGCCACTCTGAGCTCTCCGTATCCCCTCCCACATCAACTGCCCATATCCATGATAGCTCTTTGTGACAGCTTTTCTGCTCTGTGTGGTCTAGCAAGTGCATCGTCTTCTTGAGATCCTCTTTAGTCAGAGGTCGGTATCGCTGCAGCTGTGGTGGCAGCGTCTTCAACCATTCACAAAACACCTGCTTGGCTTCCACCTGGGCACTGCTGTTTGGCTGCAATGACTGCCCAGAGCTTCCCACTCCCTTTTGCTGTGATGAGTCCCGGCCCATGGCCTTGTGATAGTCTTTGAACTGCTTCTCCATTTTGGCCACTTTGGCATCCCCCATCAGCACCCGTGTCATGCCCGTTTGAGCCAAGGTGTACAGGCAGGTGCACTCTGTGATGACCTTCGTCACTCCGCTGATGTCCTTGTATGCTCTCGTCTTTGTCCTTTGGCTGTTAGCGAGGCGAATCTTTGTGCAGAATAGAACAAATTTCATGCCGAGGGCCATATGAAGTCAGTGGAGGGCATCGTTTGCCTGACCCTCCCACAGGCAGAGCTCCCGACAATCCATCTTGACCTTCCCCAGCTCTTCCAACCTCACCTTCCCCAATGTTGATGGCAGTGGAAGTGAGATGGACTCTGGCAATATCTCATCTTCAGGTTCATCCATCACTATGTGGTCCTTGCCCAAATCAGGTTCCTCTTCAAGATCCTCCCATTCCTCTCCAGTGTAGACCCCAGGGCGTCGGGCCACTTCATTGTCTGCCTCCTCATCGTCAGCACACTTCCAGTAGCCAGCTGCTTTGCTCGAAAAGCGATCCACTGCTTGCTTCAATTTGTTGTCCTTCTCCACAAGCTGGAGTCTGTCCGGCAGTAAGGCCTGCTTCTTCAGCTTTCGTGCCAGCACTCTTATGGCAAGCCTGTTCACATCAGCGCAATACCAACTCTCAGATCACAGCACCCACTGTTGCTCCTGAATCAAGATTCCCTCCGCCAGCCACGACGTAGATCCGGGGCTGTCCTTCTGTTTGCCCTCCTCTTGTTCAAGCAGAAGCTGCATCTGCTTCTTACTAGGGGCTGCATCACTGCCAAGACTGCATCTCGGATATATTTGTTGGCTGCAGTGCGCCTCAGAGCGATTCCAAAGGCCTAAGTCGAGCTCTGTAAAGTCTTTATATTCAAGAAAGCAAAGATACACACCTAAGTCGAGCTCTGTAAAGTCTTAGGGACTTAGAGCTCGACGAGGCGAACTGTCTACGGCCTGTGTTACGTAATACAGCCACATCTGTATAGTAGAACAGCCACAAAGTCGAAATCAACAAACAAGTGAAAAGCTCGTGAGTGCAATGGTTCAAATCCCAGAAGTGTCAAACATTATAGAAAATGGTAGACTGAAGGGAAAGAGGTTGGAAAAAATATAGTATGCATGGTACAGTAATGGCGTCCATGTGGAATAAAGGAGAACACACCAGGACGCATATTATGACTTGGACAGGGCAATGGAGCTCAGAATAATCTGCAGGAATGTGGAATAAATTCGAGCTCAACAATATTGATGCAACAAGCGTGCACCTTTCTCTTGGGTGACCTCATAGGACTCCATGACCAACAGATCTTGTCCTCTCTCCATCCGTGCTCTCATTTCAAGCTCCTTCCATTTGGCCAACAGTTCTGTGTCGCTAGACTCCTTGAGTTCCTGTAGCAGCTCTTGGCACAGCTCCTGTTGCTTCTCAGTCTGGATGAACCTCTGAGACAGCATCTTCACTGCATTTTGGGTAAGCAGGGGACTGACAGTGTTGGCAATGCGAACACACCCATGCTGATTGTCTTTCGCCAATTGGTGTCATTCATATGGTCATCAATGACCTCTTTCCTATGAGATGTTGCCATGGCGCGCGTACTGCCTGGTATGCGATTAAGCGGGGCCCATAACGTCTCAATGATCTCGCTGTCTACCTGCCCAGCGCCAGGAATGAATGAAGGCGAGTACTTTGGTAAACAGTCGTGCTGGTGGCTGTGGATGTGGAACAGGCCAATTCCCCAAATTATGTCGGCCGCCTCAGGCCAGCTGAGGTGTGGGCCCTGAGAAAACCTCCCCAGGACCTTCTTGCTGTACTGGTATGCGATGTCGTACATGATAAGAAACGTTTGGACGCCTGTGTGATGCCATAGTGCCTGGGAAAGTGCATAATCCATGTTCATTTGCCTGGAGCCTTTAAGCTAGCCTCTTCAAGCAGACAATGGATATTGTACTCACCATTCCCCCTTCTGGAAATCCACCACCGCATGAGGGATGAAGCAACCATGTCACCCACAGGCAACTGTGCCAATGCCCGTAGCTTCCATGTCATGGCGGTTGGCATTGGCTTGATTGACGGCACAATGAGCGTGACAGCTTGATTGCTAGAGTGCCCTGAGCTTAAGAAACTGCCAAACTGAGCTACCTACCTCTCACTGTTCCAATGTGCCCTAGAGGTGATTCTTGTATGGTGCATCTGTCACCATGAAGCCATGCCTGTCACCAATAGCTACATCATCTGTGGGCCAGCGCATCTTCAAATGCTTGGTGCTGAAGTTGCTGTCTATGACAAACGTCTGCATAAACTTCCACAAGGCTTGTCTCCCGGACTGCAACAAACAAGCGGGGCGCTTACCGGTCGGGATCCTGTTCCCAACCTGCCTTGAGGTTGACTCCGGGCATTGGACAGGCCACACATCCCAGTGCAAGCTCACCCGGACCCACTGGCCCTTGTTCATGACCAAAGCCATGCCATTTGCAATATTTGAGGTTTTGCCACTGTTGGCTGACATGCAGAAGCTTGCAGTAGTGGTTTTGTAAACAGTCAGACAGTGCCATGTTGTTATGGTTCTGTTTTTGTTTATAGACAGCTAGTTACCGAGTTTATTGCCGAGTCAATAGGAATAGTAACCTCGGTAAAAGTGATTTGGAGCTACATGGAAGTATATAGAAAATCAAGGAGTGTCGTAGAAGTGTATAGTACATGTCCTTAACTCATTTACACCGCTTCAGAGGCCATTCTAGGAGAACAATAGGATCATAGCCTTACACTTCATTGTTTCCAACGAGGCAAGCTATGTCACCAAGTCATCCTAGTACAGCCACAGTACAGCCACTGTTTCAGGACTGTGATTCCCGAGGCATTACCGAGGCATGCAAGAATCCGCATTTTTGGTGTACAGCCTAAGGATAGCACAGCCATTCAACACAGCTTCGGGAATGGCTCGGTAATTGTTGCACAGCCATTCCTTTCTATGTATCAACAAAACCATTATAACTCGGTAATTGATAGGTAATAACCACCATTTACCGAGCATACAATAGCTCTTGTATCAGTACTGAAAGCATCTGGTCATAATGAGTAAGAACACACTAGAGACTCGGTAATAGTCCGTTTAGTAGATACAGTAACAAGCGCTTCTAAAGCATCAAAACGTCGGTAATCAATACCTCGGTAATAAAACAATGAAAGTGCTACATTGATGTCCATTGAGTGGAATAAAGGAAAGATAAGGAGAGTAAGATGAGCACATAACAAACCTTCATTGATGCAGCCACTTGGTAAGTACATACTTCTAACAAGTTTCTGTGTGCTCTGAGGCTATCAAGCCTCTATCCCCAACAAGGGCGGGCTATATATGTCAATTTTCAGTGCTCTCCCATGTTGGGAGAGCTCTGCACATGAATGTAAAGGCACCCACAGTCCACCTGCATAGCCTGCTGCCTTCATCCCACCTGCAGCAGGCCTGCAGCATGACCACCCACTTTATACAACACACACGTGCTGCCACCACCCAATGGCAATACACGTGGTTTTCCCATGTCAAGAGAGCTGTGTGCGTGCACATCACTGCACTCACTGTCCCTGCAGAGCCCCACCTTCCCACTGCAGGCCTGGGGCACAACTACCCACCTTCTATGGCACATGTGCACCACCGCCCAATGGCAATAGCACATAGCTCTCCAACATTGGGAGAGCTGTACGCATGCATGTAATGACACCTGCTGTCCATTGTAAGACTGGTGGCATGGCCATCCACTTCCTACGTCAAACATGTTCTTGCCACCACCCAATGGCAACAGCACACAGCTCTCCAATGTCAGGAGAGTCATGTGTTCATATGTAGCACCATGCCCTGTTTGTCATCCAGCCTGCCACCACATTCTGTGACAATGCATGGCTTTCAGAGGTTGGGAGACTTGAGCTAGTACCGCTCAGCGCTATCTCCGTTACCTTATTTACCTGTGGCTGTGATGACTACATTATCTCCATGTTCTGTTGTACTGTACAGTGTCCTACAATTGTGTAGTATAGAAACTGCAGTGCTATGGCGAATTGCAACATTGTTGTTATGCAACAATAAGAAGTGGAGCACCTGGGAAGGCGACAGCCTATACAAGAACTATCTTCAACCAAAGACGCAGCCTAACTAGGGCTTACTCTCATCTAAGGCTTCGGTACGATGGGGCATTTGAGATGGGGCATTCAAGAGGACAAGCTGTGTAGGCTTCCTCAAGGACTCCTGATTGGTTGGTTCTATCTGGGCTTGGTTGTCATCAGCCGCCAGGGAGAGAGGAAGAGGGGACAAGCAGAGATAGAATTGAGAAAACCAGGTCAAATGTGAAGTTTGACTGTACAGCAGGTTTAAATACAACAACAGTGGAGCAATCAATTTGGATCAACACATAAGCGGATCACAAGGGCAGTGTCCAGTAGCATACAGTACAGATGGCAAGCCGGTGCTACAATCAGCTGCCCAAGATAGATAGTTGCTCAGCTGAGCGATGAAGAAGAAAATGACATAGTGATGTGAACAAACAGGGACCAACCATTCCATAACAATTGGAAATAAAATTTGAACACATCAGAATCAATCTTTATGGAAGTGCGACCACCTAGCGACCTTGCACAGAAGGTGCTCAACCATTATCTCATCAAATCCAATGCTCTGCTTTGTAGTGTCGGGTAGAGAGTAGGATTTGAAGGTAGGTAAGACCACCAAGCGCACCTGACTTGATGTGCCATACCGTGCTTCCCATCTCCTCTGCTGTAGGGTCTGCAACAATACCTTAATAAACAAAGTCTGAGGCAAGCAGCGTAGATGAAAGGGCACCAATGCCAGGAAGTCGCTTCTTTGGCTCACCACCGCACAATTGCAAATCCTTCAAGGCTGTTGTGTACTTCACCGGCTGCTTGCACAAAAGCTGCTTGGCATGGAAAGCCTCCTGGTTGAAGTACATTGCCGCATTCTCTGTCTTGCAGTCTTGGCTGTACGAGCCGTCTCCTGCAGGGTTGCAAATGTAGTACAGTTCATTGGCATGACCACACATATCAACCATATGCTGAAAGTTTGCGTGGTTTGGAAAGAGAGAAGGCTGTTCAAGGGATCATAGACAGGAGAATGTGATGCCATGGAAGATGAACATGCTAGGAAGTGCACCAGGCTTGCAGATGTTGGTAGGGTGGAAAGGTCCAGACTCGGATTTCATCTTCTTCCGGGCCATGGCAAGCTCGCAGAAGGGTACACAATGGTCCTCATCCTTCAATTACTGAAGTGCAGAGAGTGACTCCGGGAGGGGAATAGAGCTGTCGTGAAGGTGCGGGACATAAAGGAGGCACTCCATGACAAACTCCTGAAGACGTATAAGCCCAACTCTCTGTGCCTCCTGAGCATGGACAGGGTTGGTATGGATAGTGCCAGAGTGTATACCAGCCAGAAGGCAACAGAAAAGGCGGAATGACTGCTACTCCAGGGCTTCAGGATTGGAGAGTACAGGCAGTGTAGCCGGATTTGTATGCAGGAACACAACGCACTTGTCACTGATGTGCTCAGTGCATTGCTGTGACATGGGGAGAAGGGAAGGGCGAGGAACACAGGACATCATTGGTTGCAAAGGCTGTCACGAGCATGCTCACAAAGAGAGCAGCCAGGAAAGAAGTTGGTTCAGGGAATCCAAGCCAGGTGCACATCATGTTGTGGACAGTCTCTACCACAGGGTCAATATGCTCATCCTTGCAGACAGTTTTCTTTGGCAGAGTTGCATCCATGGGAGGGAGCTCTGAGAGGAACATTGATCTTGCCTACACAAGACATCAGCAAGTGGAATAAGGAGAGCTAGATACATACCTTTGCAAACCTCATGCAAGTACTGAGGTGCAGAGACATTCAGCTGACTGCTGGAGAAGCAGACGTTGTCCAGGTCCCCCATGCAGAAGGATCTGTGCATGCACTAGATGTCGTACAGCAATTTGTAGGTGTTGGGTACTACCATACACATTATGTGCATGCTGTTCTTTGCACCAATCTACATGCCAGTCTATCTGCCCATCAAACCCACAGAAAGGCACAAAATCACCTGATTTAGCTCACAGTGTATGGAAAGATCCTCTGGCTCATCCACTTCATCCTCTGCAAACTGCTTTGCACCAATGCTTGGACTGATTAGTTTCTGGGAGCACTGGTGAGATTGGCCAATGTTGTACACACAAGCTTCTGGCTTCTCTTGACCAATATTGGGACACCCTCACGCTTGTGGAAGAGACACTCAACATTGGCACCATTGACCCACTGCTTCTTGATCCTGTCGTACTGGGCACTGCAAGCAGGTTATGCATATAAGGGCTCCAAGCCTATTGTAGGTTTCAACCGTGCCAGGGGCCATGTCCCTACAGCCCAATTAGCAGAATATCTTTGTACACACAATGTACTCACTGTTCTGCAATGACAGTCACGGCTAGAACATCATGCTCATGGCTCAAGTTGGGGACCAACTCACCATCAAGCCCAATGTGAGCAGGCCACAGGTGCACATGGTCACGTGCACCAATGTGCAGCCAGCCTACCTGAACATGAGCGCCTACTGATTATTTTATTCTGAATTCTTACATCATCAGTTGCATCGGCTGGGGTCTCTCCAGGGACGGGCCAGTGAACATCTTGCTCTGTCCATGCTGTGGCTGCTTCCTCGCAGGTGTCCATGACCTGTAGATAGCTGTTGTTCACCGCCAGTCCCCTACCAACAAGGGATGGGTGTGGCTTGTTCAGCCAGAACATGGGCGGCATTTGCTCCAGCCGCACAGGTGCATCCACAAGTACACCTTCAATACTTGCCAGGACAACCACAGGTATGCCAAATTCATAGTGTTTGGAGTACCTACCATGGGTTGGAACATTGTGTATGGTGAAACAGCACTACTGACCATAGGTATTTGTCATTCTCAAGCCTCAATTTGCCCAAGAGACTCCGTGGGATTGTTGGTCACTGCAAATTCATACTCTGCAAGCCCAAATGCATGAGAACACATGGATGAGTGTTTGTGTAACTGTATATATCTAGGAATTGTAGACCTGAGAGACGGTGGATGAGATGAGAGTGATAGTGAAGACACATGGAGTCTGGTGCGACAGGCTCAGCCACTTGCCACGCAAGGTTCACTTGTTGACAGGTCAGAAATTTGACCTGTCAACAAGTGATCTTGCAATGTAGTCTCCCAGACTCCACCGCAAAGTGCTACATAGAATGCTTCCCCGGCCAGAAAACCAGGACACACTGCTTTTGCCACATCATCAACCTTGTAGCAAAAGCGCTCCTGCATCAGTTTGAGCCAATTAAGCGAAAGAAAGGCAGTACTAGTACAGACATAAACCCCCCGGTGGGTCGGTACCCCCCAATGGGTCACCTTCCTAATCAGGGGGTACCCATACCAAAAACGGAAACAGCCAACACGCAACCTCGGGGATGGGTCGGCGTCCGCGTCAAAAATTACCTGAATGGGAAGGTGGCCCATTGGGGGGTACCGACCCACCGGGGGGTTTATGTCTGTACCTTGAACGAAGACATCCCCGACTTTGCGGACACGTCCCTTGACAATTTTGAGAGGGATCTCTTGGAGCTAGTGAAGGCCCTCGACTTGGAGGGTGATGCAGAGGGAGCGGACACTGAGGCAGATGACGTCTCTGGCCTCATCGACGAACTTGAAGAGCTCGACCCAGAGGCACGTCGGGCACAGCTTGAGGGTGTGCGACCCGTGAAGCTCGTTCTGTTCAAGATAAGCATGCACATGTACCGACGTTGAGACTGGATGACTCACCAAGAGGGGCTGTGCTTTCAGCTCCGCAAAATCTCCCTGGCAATCCACCACTCCATGACGATCCTCACACCACTTTGGCGGAAACTTTTAGTGAAAGAAAAACTCACCAAGAAGACACTCCCACACAATGTTGCAACACATTGGAATTCAACATTTGAAATGTTGGATGCCATGTTGGAGTATCGGCTTGGAATCACTGCAATAACACAAGATCAAGAGCATGGTCTGTGCAAGTACAAGCTCACCAAGAGAGAGTGGGAGATTGCCATGCAACTGCATGACGTCCTTAAGGTTCGTCACCTAGTCACTTTGTGGGTCCGCTTTTCACTTACCTGTTCTGACCCTCTCCCTCTACCATCAACTTCCACACACGCCGGTGTTGCATTTTCACCGCCTGCATGCTGCCCTCCTTTGCCACTCAATTTAGTATCAATGGGCGTCCCTCGCATTCAATGTGTCTCCCTCACCATTTGACATGCCCTCGCCGCTTGCCACGCCATTGCCACCTGATGATGTGGCCACTGCGCTGGTCGCCGCTGCATGCACCCTTGCCGTGTAACCACTGGTCAACGCTTGACTTGGACACGGCCATGGCTCGACGCAGTCGTGCTACTTGCAGCTCAATGTGCCCTCGCTGCTTGCTGCTGCATGCACCCTCACCGCCGGGTCAATGCTCGACTTGTGTGGCCGTGCTGCTTGCCAGCGCTCATTGCTTGACATGGCTGTGCTGCGCGCGACCGCTGCAACATGGCTGACACCCCTCACCACTCAATGTGCCCTTGCCACCTGATGAACCCATGACAACATAGCCATGCTGTTTGCCGCATTGCTCGACATGACCGTGCTGCTTGCGACTCACCGCGCAACGTGGCTGCCGCCCCTCACCGCTTGATGCGCCCTCGCCGTCCAATGATGTGGGCATGCTGCTTGCCACTGCATGCACCCTCGCCGCCTGGTCAACGCACGTTGTCCTGAGCCCAAATTGTTTGGCTCAGGGACAGGTGTCATGATCAGACACACACAGCCGATACGCCGCCCACGCACGCCTACCGTACCACTTGTACGCACACACCACACTGCGCGCACGAACCAGCGGAACCACCGAAATGCGCGGTATACGATGCACAATACGCCGTACAACACACGATACCCAGTACAACGTACAGTCTATCACACGGTACAGGTGACACGCAGTACGTGCAATACAGCTCGGTATGTGCGATGCGCAGTACATTGTGCGCAGGCGAACCTGTAGTGCATGACCAAGGACCGATGATGCGCGCCTCAGTCATCCCTACTCAGGCCCAGCCAGGGGCAACAGGGGGGGACGACTCACCTCGAAGAATAGGCTGCACAGATGATCCTGTGACTCACTGCGACTCAGCGCGACTCGGCAGTGACTCATAACCGGTCAAAGGAGGAAGGAATAGGGATGCTCAGAACGCGGCCCAGAACCGGGTCTGGGTGGTGCGGATCTGTTGTCTGGGTGGTGCAATCTTGGGGTAGAGCCACACGGCCAACGTCATGAGTTCCCACATCTCATCTTTATTCCGCCTCACACCAACCTCACACCGTCGCTGCTCAGCTCTCTATGGTAAAGCTTCAACTGTTTATGGCAGGGTGACCTCCCAACTTGGAGTGCCTGCTTTGAGTATGTCAGACCCGGCTCTAGATCAGACCTTGCCTGACGGCTGGGCTGTGCGCTTCGATCCAGCATCGAAACGGTGGTTCTATTCTCTTTGTTGCTGTACTAAAATTGTTGCAGATCAACAATCGTGTCGATCCGCCTGCTGCGACATGGACCCATCCCCTTTTACCCATCCTCCAACATCCCCAACAGCAGCCAGTCGCGAGCATGCAGAGCAATGTCCACGAAACACCACAGAATGAGGAGGCGGCTTTGCCGGCGCCCGCCAAGATGCGGGTACAGGAAAGTGAGGCTCGAGGTGGCACCATGTCACCGGCCGACGCCGAGGTCCAGCCACGCGCTCACAGAGCTCAGACGTGGTTCTCGGCGCTCGAGTTGCAGCAGATGGTACTGCTAACAGAGCAACACGACCCGTTCATCCAGCCACGCGGCAAGATAACCAAGACCTGGCGAGACATCACGGAGGAGTTGCACTCGCAGCAGCTCTGCTTGACTTCCAATGGCGAGACGATCAAGAGGAAAGTCCTACAGATAATAGCGAATCACGAGGTACGTACCGTTCTCTCATATCGTTTGTCTATGAGTTCAGAGTCACCACCGCGCTGTGTCAATAGCATTGGAACCCCCGTTCGCAAGTCACAGCCGCATTGAACGAGAATCCAATGATAAAGACCACAATCAGTGCGAAGATAGATGCCATCATTGGCCTACGAGATAAGGCAACAAGTCTGTCAGAAGATAAGAAGGGGGAGGAGGCAGCGGTACGTCGTCATTGTTGCTCCTATGAGCCTCACTGATTGATCATACAGCGGAAAGAACAACTTGTTCATCAGGGCGAAGAGATCCGGAACGCATCCCTCAGGACAATGTGACAGCAGAGGCTGCACGAAGCAGACTCCTCGGACGAAACATCTAGCCAGGACTCCAGAGCTGGAACCCCGTCTGTGCAGTCGGGCGACTCTGGGCAGCCTGAGCAAGCAGGCCTTGGTGCGAAGGCAGTTGACACACGTACTGGCGCAGGCACACCGGGGCCAGACGCAGGCTCTGATGCTGCCGAAGCAGAGGACCAGAACGGCCAGAACAAGGAGAACGCGCCAAAGCGTAAGCGTAAGCGGGATAGCACGGAGGGAACAGCCGTACCGCGGAAGTCACGACGACGTAGGGCACCGGCGGACAACGAAGTCACAAGCATCCTGCGAGAATTCAAGGATTTCATGTCGGATGAACGCGCTGCAAGAGAGAAGGAGCGCAAGGATCGCATGGCCCGCGATCAGCATCTCATCGACGCTGTTCATGCAGTGTCTCGCGACAACTGAGAGTCTGCGGGACAGATCGCGAATGCCATTTCGCAGTTCGCCAGGCAGGAGTGCGAGTGAACAATGGATCATGTACATTATTTGTATATATTGTACGAATCATCTACGCATGAAAGTACTCGTCAATCTTGGGAGGCTCGCAATGAAAGAACGTAGCAATTTGGTTGGGACGGAAGCAGTTCAATGCGTTGGTGAGGAGGACTGCAGTACGGTAATAAGAGCCTACAGGGGAGGAGAAGATACGGTGCTTCCAGAACACATTCAAGAAGGGCCCCCTCCCAATCATCGAATCATCCTCAGACGTCGCGTCCTCTTCCGAATCATCAGAAACCCTGTCTACCGTGTCCACTACGTCGAGCAGTATGGCCGAATCCACGAACCGGAGGATGCCCCTCCGAGGAGAGAGGTCGGCCCCGAAGTTTGACGGTACGCCTAGGGCACTCGCCCGTTATTTCTCGGAGCTGCAGGAGCTCTTTGCCTACGCAGGAGTCGTCGACGATGTAAAGAAGGTCGAGTCGGTGAAACGTTATCTGTCGGCGGACGACGCAGAGATATGGGATACGGTGTCGGAGAAAGGGGCCGACAGGTACGATAAGTTCAAGGAGGCGGTGATGAAGCTGTACCCAGGGTCGGACGGAGCGTCGAAGTACATGGCCGAGGACCTCGACACTATATCTAAGGAATCGAGGGCAGCAGGGACCAGGACCCGAGGGGAGGAGGCGGCGTACTATCGCAAGTTCCTTCCGGCTGCGATGTTCCTTGACAAGAAGGGCACGGTATCGCGGAAGGAGGTCTGCATGAAGTATCTCTCGGGGTTCGACGACGAGACGAAAGGCTCGATCCAGCGCCGCGCTGAAGTGATGTTCCCGGAGAAGGATCCGTGGGAGGGTTTTGAGCTTACGGACCTACACGACGCCGCGCAACGGTGCCTGACAGCTGTTGGGTACGGGGCGAGTCCTTCGAGCGCGACCGGGACGGCGGGAACGACGAGTGTCGGCGCGACGACCCCTATCAAGACGGAGCCTACGTACGAAGTGATGACGAGGGCCTTTGTGTTGGTATTGCAGCAGTACCACCAAGGTAACGGAGGAGGGAGCCTACCAGTGAATGTGGCCTCTCGTACCTCGTTCCGGGCATACCCAGCACCCTTTGCGGGGCCTTCAGCCAATTTTGGAGGAACCGGAGGGTGGGCGCCGAGAGCTGGAGGGACTGGAACGTACGGGAACAGTGGACCGCCGACCGGAGGGACCGGGTTCAGGCAGAGTATCTGTAACTTCTGCGGAGTCATGGAACATTTCCTCAGGGAGTGTCCTGAGGTGGAACGGTACGCGAAGGACGGCCGCATACAGTTCGACGCGATGCGGAAGATCATCCTCCCGAACGGGCACTACCCGGGGCGATACCTCGGGGGGAGCACGATGAAGGAAAACATAGATAACTGGCATGCAGCGGAAGGGCTGAACAAGGGCGGAGGAAACGTGCAGGACGGAGGGAATACGTCCCGGGACGCCCCACCGCATCTCTCGGCCCACCTCGTCGAGCTTGTAGAAGGATTCAGCGTCGCGAGTGCGGTGTCTGTCGGTGACGATACGGAACGGGAAGCGAAGGAACTGGAAGAGAAGGCGGAGGTGCTGGCGGCGGAAGCGGCGAAGCTGCGCGGAGCCAGGAAGGTCAGGTTCGAGGACAAAGTAGCTGGTGGGGGAAGTGTCAAGGCAAGTACGATGAAGGGGAGCGCGGGAAAACCACCAGGGATCCCTGCAAAGTCGGTGTTGCCGGAGCCAGCGAAAACCGGAGGGAAGGCGAGGGGTGACCCGCAGTACAAGTACACCACGAAGCTGAACGCGGAACGGGACCTGATGAGGAAGGCGGATGAGCTGGTCGACCGAATGCTGAAGGGCGGGGACCGGCCGATGTGGGACGAGCTGGGCGAGGTCAGCATCGATTTCCGAAAGGCCATGAACGAGCGTACTCGAACGTACCGCGTCCCGTTGCAGTCGGGCATGGTAGCAGAGGGGAAAGAGGAAGCCAGCGAGACGTCTCTCCTCGTCGGGGCCGGAAGGAATATTGCGAACTTCGAGTGTTGGGACTCCCTCAACCTCCGCACGGTAGGGCCAACGGTGAACGGGGTAGCCAGGCTCGAGTGCGTGCTAGATACCGGATCACAGGTCGTTCTCATATGGAGGGACGTCTGGGAGAGGCTCGGAGGGAGCCTCCGCGTGGACGACGGGGTGCTTATGGAGATGGCGAACAAGTCGCAGATCAGGACGGTCGGAAAGGCGGTGGGGGTACGGTTCGTCTTCGACGAGGACGTGGAAGTCTTCCTAAACGCGCAGATCGTCGACATCGCCCCGTTCGAGGTCCTTCTCAGCAGGCCCTTCTTTGCGGCAACGAGCTGTGAAACGAAGGATCATCCGAACGGGAGGATGGAGGTCATCCTCACCGACCCGAAGACGAAGCGGAGGGTAATGATCCAGACGTACGAACGGAAGCCACGTCAGCCAGACGAAGGCGGGGAGGGGAGTGCCGGATCGGAAGGGAAGAAGACGGACGGAGGCGAGAAGGAGGGTTTTTGATTGTCGATGATGCGAGCAATGCGAGCGGAGACGGTCTAGTATGCCTCTGGTCTATGTACCTTTGCGACGACGATGAGCCCGGGACGGAGGAAACGGCGTCAGCAAAGGTAGAGGAAGAAAGATCGCTAGCCGACTCGTCGTATACCCCTGCATGTACTGGCAACATCCCGTCGACGACGGGTTCAATCGATATTGTTCCATTGTATCACGCGGAGGGAAACGGCGAAACGGTTGGCGATGAGCGGGAAAAGGAGGGAGGGAAAGACTACCCGGAGGAGACGTTTGAGGTCCACCTCGGGGCATTAACGCACGTACTAGCGTACAAAAAGGTGGCCCGGAAGGTGCGACCGGTGGCCACTACGCTCCCCAAGGAGTTTCGAGTGGTCCGGAGGGAAGTGCGAAACGCTCTGGAGGGTCTGCCTGAGCTCCCGACCAGGGTGGGCGAGTTTGAACCTCGGGGGCGGTATACGGAAGCGCGGAGGGAGAAGCTGGACGTACGGAAGGACGGGTTCTTGTGGGAAGAGGAGGCTAAACTGGTGGACTGGTTGGTGGCCGAGCACGAGAAGGTGTTCGCCTGGGACGGGACAGAGAAGGGGCGGCTGACAGACGAGTACTTCGACCCAGTGGTCATTCCGGCCGTTGAACACATTCCATGGGCGCACAAGAACATACCCATACCGCCGGGGATCTACGACGAAGTGGTACAAATCATCAAGGACAAGATAGCATCCGGGGTGTACGAACCTTCAAGCTTGTCGTACCGGTCACGGTGGTTCTGTGTGGTTAAGAAGGATGGGAAGTCCCTCCGGCTGGTGCACGATTTGCAGCCGTTGAACGCGGTTACCATCAAGGATTCGTCGGTGCCGCCATTTGTGGAACAGCTAGCGGAGTCGTTCGGAGGAAGGGCTTGTTATGGGTCGTTGGACCTGTTCGTAGCCTTCGACCAGCGAACACTGGATGCCCGGTCGCGAGACCTGACAACATTCCAGTCGCCGCTAGGTGCACTCCGCCTTACTTCGGTACCCATGGGATGGACCAACGCGATGCAGATTGTCCACGGGGACGTTACGTTCATCCTCCGAGACGAGATTCCGGGGTTCACCATTCCGTTCGTGGACGACGCGCCGGTGAAAGGGCCGAAGACGCGATACGAGATAGCGGACGGAGGGTACGAAACGATCGAAGGAAGCGGAGGGATACGGCGGTTCGTCTGGGAGCATCTGCAAGTGATGAACCGAATCCTACACCGGATGAAGCGGGTTGGTGGCACGTTCTCAGGGAAGAAGGCCTACATCTGTGTGCCCAACATCGTTGTAGTGGGACACAAGTGCACGTACGAGGGGAGGGTGCCGGAGGAAGGGCGGATACAGCGGATCCGGGACTGGCCACCCTGCCAGAGTGTGACCGAAGTCCGAGGATTTCTAGGAACGATGGGGCTTGTCCGTATTTTTGTGAAGGAGTTCGCGAAGCTGGCGAAACCGCTGACGAGGCTAACGAAGAGAGAAGTAGACTTCGAATGGGGCCCGGAGGAAGAGCGCGCGATGAAGCTCCTGAAGGACGCGTTGATCGACTCGCCTGCACTCCTTCCGATAGACCACACGTCGGAGCGGGCGGTGATCCTAGCGGTTGACTCCTCTATTATCGGGGTGGGCTATGTGTTGCTACAACTGGACGAGGCAGCAAGGCGCTGGCCTAGTAGGTTTGGGTCTATAACGTGGAACAAGCGGGAATCCAACTACTCGCAGCCGAAAGTCGAGCTCTACGGCCTCTTCCGGGCACTCCGGGCCAGCCGGATACACATTATCGGAGTAAAGGCACTGGTAGTGGAGGTAGACGTGAAGTACATCAAGGGGATGCTCAATAACCCGGACATCCAGCCAAATGCGACGATTAACAGGTGGATTGCCGGGATTCTGCTGTTTGACTTCAAGCTCGTACACATCCCGGGGGACAAGCACTCCGGGGTGGATGGCCTATCTCGGAGGAGACGTGCGGACGAGGACCCGGAGGAGGAAGACGACCACGAACAATGGATCGACGATGCGTGCGGGTTCACGGTCTTCTACGGCAACACTTCCGAACCTAGCATACGGCGAGTCGGGTGGGCGGCTCGGGAAGAGCGGAGGGTGATGTGCTGGACGGTCGAGCGCGGAGGGGGCGAAGAAGTGGTGCTGCCAAGGAATGACGCAACGGAGCGGCAAGACGAGGAGTTGGAAGTCGTACAAAGGTTCCTGCAAGACGTGGAGAGACCAGAGGGGATGGATGACTTGAGGTTTAAGAAGCTGGTGAAACGGGCATCCCAGTTCTTCCTCCGGAACGAGCGATTGTGGCGACGAGACCCGGAGGGAAAGCACAAACGGGTGATCTCGTATCCTCGGAGGCTAGGACTGCTACGGGAAGCGCACAACGACCTAGGGTATAAAGGAATCTTCACCGTGCGGAGGAGGATCCTCGAGAGGTTTTGGTGGCCTAACTTGGAACGAGACGTCAAATGGTATGTCGGAACGTGCCACGAGTGTCAGCTGCGAAGTATGCAGAAAGTGAAGATTCCGCCGACCGTGGCGATGCCTTTGGGACTGTTCCAGAAGGTGCATATCGACACTATGCACATGCCGAAGGCCGGAGGCTTCTCGTACCTCGTACAGGCGCGGTGTTCCATGTTGTCGTATCCGGAATGGAGGAAGCTACGAACCGAGACGGCGATAACACTAGCGAAGTTCATCTACGAGGATATACTCTGCCGGTGGGGGGCGGTGTCGGAAATCGTCACGGACAACGGCACGGCGTTCCTTGCGGCAATGAAGGAGTTAGAGAAGCGGTACGGGATCAGGCACATCAAGATCTCACCGTATAACTCGAGGGCAAACGGGATAGTTGAGAGGAGACATACCGATGTCCGCGAAGCGGCCATGAAAATCTGCGGAGGGAACGAGGCGAAATGGCCGTCGGTCATTGATGCTGTGTTTTGGGCGGAGCGAGTGTCGATACAGAAGAGTACTGGGATGTCGCTGTATCGGATCGTGCACGGCGTGAAACCGCTCCTTCCATTCGACCTAGCTGAAGCTACGTACCTAGTGCCGCTTCCGGAGGAAGAAATGTCGACTCGCGACCTCTTGGCCATGAAGGCGCAGCAACTACTCAAGCGGAGGGAGGATCTGGACGCCATACACGCTAAAGTGCTGGCCGGAAGGTATAAGTCGGTCCGGGAGTTCATCAAGCGGAACGAACATGTCATAAAGGACTACGATCACAAGCGTGGAGACCTCGTGCTAGTACGGAATTCTCAGATCGAAACCGAACATAACCGCAAAGCGAAGCGACGATACTCGGGGCCGATGGTAGTCGTACGAAGAACAGAAGGGGGAGCGTACATCCTGGCCAAACTAGATGGAAGTGTGTCCCGGCACCGCTATGCTGCATTCAGAGTCATTCCGTACCGCGGAAGGAGCAGGTCGTCAGTACGACTCGAGGAGGTAGAGGAGTGGGAGGAGTATGTTGAGCAGGCAGCTCCACGCAGTGGTGCGCCCTCACAACTTACCTGCAAGGTTGCTGATGCTTGATGCACACGCAAGTACTTCGACTGAAGGTACTGGGGATTGAGCTACGCTACTGGGGTCCTTATATACATGAGGAGACCGCTTATCTAAGCTACTGTATAGTACGTTCCCACGACATACAAGGTAAGTGGCGTAGCCATGTGATAACACACAGATGACATCATAGATGACATCACGGACCCGGAGCTTCCCATAGAACCGGTCCGGCCTGTGATTGAACCCGGCAGCCCGGTAGGCGCCTTCCTAGTTCAACACTCCCCCTCGCTTAGTGCGTCGTAGACTCACATAAGCGTACTAGGCGCATAACGCTGCCAATGGTGCTCTAGGACGATTCATAGAATCTAAGTCCGAGCATTCCTCTAAACTTAAGGAATTTGACACGGCCTAAGTTCTTGGTGAACAGGTCTGCTGGATTTTCATCCGTACTGATGTAGAAGAGCTCGACTTGCTTCTCCTCAATCAGTTCCCTGATGTAATGGTAGCGTATGTCGATGTGCTTCGACCGCCTCTCAGTTACAGGGTTGGAGCCGATGAATATCGCTCCTTGGTTATCCGAGCAGATAGGGAGTGCGCCAAGTAGGTAACCGATCTCCTTGAGGAGCATCTTAACCCAGACGACTTGGCGGCTACAGTCGCTGAGCGACATGTATTCAGCCTCAGTTGAAGACAGTGCAACCGTCTTTTGCCGTCGAGACAGCCAACTGAACACTCCGTTCGCCAACTTCATAAAGTAGCCACTCTGAGACCGTCTCATCTCTGGGTCATTGGCCCAGTCAGAGTCTGTGCATGCCGAGACACCTTGTCCAGATTTGCCGCTGTATACAAGCGCATAGGACTTGGTACCCACGAGGTAGCGGCAGATATATAGCGCTTTGTCCAAGTGGTCCTGTGACGGATTCGCAGCTTGTTGCGCGAGTTTAGTCACGGCAAAGCAGATGTCAGGTCGAGTTCCGAGCATGATATATAGCAAGGAGCCGATGACGGTCTGATACCGGCTTCGAAGTGCAGGATCAACCGGGCCAGTGTGCGGCTCAGGTTTGTAACCCGCAGGGAGTGGAGTAGGCGCAGACTTTGCATTCTGCATGCCACAGCGCTGCAGCACAGTCTCAAGGTAGGCAGTTTGGTCGAGATGAATCTCGTTGCCTTTCCGAGTAATGCGCATACGCAAGAACTCCTTGACGTCGCCTAGGTCGCGACACTCCCACTTCTTCATGAAGCGGTTCTTGAGTTTGGCTACAAGGGCCTTGTCTTTGCCACAAAATAGGGCATCATCCACATAGACTATGACTAGGACGAAACGTCCGTCTTTCGTCTTATAGATGAAAATTCCGGCGTCGGATACAAGGCGTGTAAAGCCGAGTTCTTTGAGAGACTCATTAAGGGTGCGCCACCACGCTAACCCTGCCTGTTTGAGTCCATAGAGAGCACGCAATAGCCGGAGGA